TTAATACCAAGCTGTTAAAATCTTCACTTGCCTCAACTAGTGAGAACCCCATTGCTAGGTATAGCACTGGTAATAGCACTGCATCTTGTCCGCACATATTTGCGTATGTAGGTATATATATGTATAGATATCCCGCACCCTATTTGCATATATAGCACTATATGCAGCAAACCTCTAAAACTCGATGTTTCTTTTGAATTAGGGTATCCATTCGCTCTAGGATCACAATTTAAACAAACCATTGCTGTTCTCGACACCTTTTCGACTAGTGCTGCAGACTACCACTCTTTCTTTAATAGAACAATATATATATCATTAAAAATGAAATAATTGATGACCTACAATAACAATTCAATATTACTATCATTTCGATACAGAAGTTGTTGTCTCGTCTCTGGCCGCTTTTCCTGGATTCTCTAAACGTGAAGAAATCAAAACATGCCTCGTTTAGCTCAAAATGACACTTGACAGCAGAGTTAGACAGTTAATGATCGGTATTTCACTCACTAGTATTGATATGTATAATCACACTGATTGCACTTCTTATGGGTCAGTCGAAATTCGGGATGTCATGGGTGCGAATGAATCTATTTAGAATTGTACCATTTTTGCAAAGAAAATTTAAGGTCCAGTATTGGCAGGTGAAGGGATGACATTTAAAATTGGATTATTGATCCAGTTTTGTATAAATCAAGTATGGGATTTTGGTCCAAAACCTTAATCCTGAATATCCGGAATCGATGTTTAGATATATGCCTCTAACAGCTGAGAGACAGACAGACAGACAGACAGACTGACGGATGCACTAACAGACGAAGTTGGACTATAGACCAGTCTCAAGTACAAGAACATTTACAGTGTTATGAAACTTTGGGCTTACGACTACGAGTGACCGCCGCACGTTGTGGCCTTTCCCTATTTTGCACATTTATACATATAGCCCGATTCAGGACTCTCGCGGCCACACAGGGTAAGGACCTTCATATTAGGGAGCTATTTTCAGGCATCTGTAAATATATCTCTGACCCATTTTCTGAGAGAACTTGTTTCAATGCTCAACCAACTTCATACATTGCTGTTTACAAGAAACGCTTTAAAGACCCTAGGTCGCTCTGTGGAAAGACAGACTGCTGCGTGCAGTTACAAAGCCTCTCATCTCATATACCTACCTGGCGACTAAATAAAAACGAATAAAACAGGCAACAGTCTAGCAGGATATATATCGATTTACAGGTTAACAACTTAACACATTACGACTTACTATTATATCAAGAGCGTATAAAGAAGGCCTTCTTTATACGCTCTTGATTATATATACTTCCTAAATAATATCAGGAATCCCGTAACCTTTTCCTTAGTTTAGCAACCTTGACATATATCAGATCACAGTGAATTAACCCAAATATCTAAGCCCCAACAACAACAACATATTCTCCCCTTAGTTTGAGTCACCTAACCAAATACAAAAGGGAAAGGATTTGTTAATTTAGCACGGGGTAAACCGCATTTTACTACATGCAATTCAAACATGAATTTCTTTTTTTTAACTGCAAGAGTTTGAGATGGTAGGCATTATATGATCACGCACAATGCAAAAAGAAGCAAAAGAGTGTAGTTTTTCCCATTCTTTGATAACCTTAACATATGTTTGAGAATTAATTACACTTAAATTATGCTTAAATTATGTTACAAACAAGTCTTTGGTTTATTATTGACTAAAAACTATGTTTAATGTTTTAATAGTAAATACACTGTTGATTGTTTGTTTACAACCCTGGTTACACCAGTACCTGACCCACCGCTAGCAGGGTTGTGCTATGCAAATCTTTGCTCACACACAATAAGCAGACCTAATTTGGAATTTATTAACATAGCTGACAATGTATTACAAAAATGTTTGTTTCACTATTAGACTATTAGTATCAGTTAGACCATGCATATATTTACATTTTAAAATATTTAACAATTTACAGTTATAAATAACAGCTAGGCATAAACACAATTTCACTTTTGTCATAAGCTCCGGGGAACGAAACATGCCAACATAAAATACAAAAGTTTCGTTTGTGGTTATCTCTATATATGAGACTGCACAAGTTGTTGTACAACTAACAACGTAATCAAGCACATTAAAGCATTTTTTCAACTTTTCCCAGTGAAATTGAATTACAAATCTTGAAGATGATCAGACACAGACCAATGCTTGTTCTTGACCCAAGCAAATGTAAGTCGACAGTTCTTTTTGCTTTTTCTGATTTTGAGTTTATTTTTACTATAATATATATGTCAAAAAGAGCAGCAGTATATATACTATAGGAATCCTATATATATATAATTTATAATATATATATATATAGAGAGAGAGAGAGAGAGAGAGAGATAGATAGAAAGATAGATACGGGTCATAGTAAACTTACTACTATTCTGAAATTTCCCGAATTTTGAAACAGGTCTGACCCATTGGTTTCAAATAAGGGATTACGGAATCTGTAATATACAGTTAAACAACTGTGGACGTCGTATTCGTACTTCTAAAATTATGCATAAGGGTAGTTTGAATCAGCATCAAATAGTAAAATTTAAAGAAAAATTCACTTTGAGTAAAAAACAAGCATGGCATAGCTGATTAAAAATGATGACGTATGAAGCAGTAAAACTTGATTAGCGCCAAAAGTGTGTAGTATGAGTTTTTTCAACATTGTAATACAATATTAACAATGTTGTGTATTGCTAACGTTCACAAGCAAAGATAGTACTATATCAACATTAAAGTTTTCATAGGATTACTGATGAGATAACAGTGTCATATATGATAGATGTGTTCACTACTGTGGCTCGGTCTAGAGACAGGTACTAGCTATGCCAAACGCTATTAAAAATAAGATATTGATGATTTGGCTGTGACCATATCATCATGACATACTTGACATATTTATGTAAATAATTTAGGCACAATGTAAGCATAAGTTTAATGATTGTGGAACGAGCAAGTGGAATATGCAAACTGCCCTCAATGCCAGATTCAGACATTTTAAGATATAATTAAATATACTGAAATTCGCTTAAGACACAGTGCAGGTGGTCTAATTTATAGAAAACAGCGTATATTGTACTGGATCCGATAAATCTCTAATCCCAATAGAACGGCCCACATCGATAAACCATTACCAAGGTAAAACTTGACAATAATGACTAATCAGTGTACTAAGAAACGCACTTCCGGGCGAGTTGTTTAGAAGCTATATACCGAATATATTTTAAACAAGCATGCATGAATTCACAATTCGGACGACTGTACACGTGTACACAAGCGTGATCCGCAGCATGACCTACTTTTCAACCATCAAGTTCTTTGAAAGTTCTGGACACCACTTATACATGTACATACACATGTATAGGGCTGTGTAACTGGAGACCAGCGATGCCTACTGGTGGTACACATGCATAAAACACACAAACACACACACGCACATACAGCACCCGTCCTCCCGGCCTTCTTACTAAAGTTACAAATTTATGGTCCATCTAAAACCTGTACAATCCGTATTTGCCAGCATAGAGAAAAACATTCAATTTTATCACCAATAAGTACCTCTTCTCCTCCCACACACGTACGCACGCACACACTCACTGACACGTACGCACGCACACACTCACTGACACGCATGCACGCACACACACACACACATCATAGCACTTAAATATAAGACAGAAACTGTCAAACAAAGTGCACGCATTTGCTGTTCATCTTTTGTTCAAGTTGTGTTATCTTTAGAGATCGAAGCCCGTAGCATTATATTCAAGCTCGCGTGCATGAAAATAGCACTCTAAAATTTGGTTTGCATTGAACTCTATGCAAATTTACGGGGGCTCTTTTTGGCATTTCGGGGGCTATAAATCGCCCCGCGAGCCCCCGTGTATTTTTTTTACTGTTGCCAGCGCTGTCAAAGCATGTTTATCAACACTCTACTGTCTTCCAGCACGACAGAATCATAGACAGTCCTGGTCAAGTGATAATAATATTATTTGTTACTTGTTAGAGGCTGCTTAGCATGAGATACTGTGTGTCTCATCTGATAAGGCTCAGGCGTCTAACAGATGCAGATTAGAGTGAGTGTGAATGAAATGTGCTGCGTTCGCACCTGTGCTGTTCATGCGTAGTTTCGCACGAGCAAAAGCAATACACTGTCACTACAACAACTACGTGCCAGACAAAATTCCGTTGCTTTCTATATATAATTTAAAGCACAGAGCGTTCATACACTACTGTAACTAGACAGAGGGCACTCACGGAGAGTGCATACCTCCGCCAGAATGTAACATGTATGTGTTACGAGCTGGCTCGCCGCTCGCTGTTGGCAGCTGCTGACTCGATGCGCTAATATCGATCGCGCGGACACACTAACACACGAACACACTACACGAGAGCGATCACATAACCTCCTCCACTCCGTGGGCGGAGGTAATTAGGTTGTCAATATCTAGCAAAGCCCTCAAGTTAAAAGCTTTCAAATGTCATCAAGACTTTTTACTAGAACACGTGATGTCAACAATAGTGATAATAATAAATTATATGAATAACTAGTGTGTTACAATTACATATATATATTATATATATATATACACAGTCAATCCTGTGTTAGCAAACAATACAGCTACGGAACCGAAACCTATAAAGAACCATTTGGCTTTTCCCATAAGTTTGAGTTACACAGTGAAGCCATCTCTATATAACAGACACCTGTCCAAGAAGAACAGTTTTTTAATTGTCTTTTTTATGACTATTACATACAGCTTTGATTGCACACCAGTGACAAAAAGGAAATCACCACAGACTGCTTTGTAGTAAATACGGATAAACATTACGATAGCGTTATCTGAAGGAGAGCCATCCAGAGACATCAGGGTTTCTCAGCTGTGATATTTATTAAAGGCACATCATTAAAAATATATATATATTATACATAAATAAATATGAGAAATATATAAGCGCAGCTCACCTGAAGTAAAGCGAACCGTTCCTGAGTAATGACACTCGGCGTTGGTCGGGGATCAGCCTTTCCCCGTTGTGACGCCATGTTATATTTACAGGCTCACCATTGCGAGCGTGTGCACTACAGTTCAACACCAGAGATTGCCCTCTGTCTGTCACTACATCATGAGGCTCCTCAACGAATGCCAGAGATGACTCAAAGCCTACTGCTACACCTGTAAGAGAAGAGGCAGCGCATTACGACACCATTCGTAATCGGGAGAAGTTTATATATATATATCTGTTCAATATTCCAACATATTATATTACAATATATATGTAGTTTTGTACGCTACAATATTGTATTGCAATATATTACAGGGTTTCTTCTGAGGAAAAATTTGACAAAGGAGGTAATGGCCAGTTTGGGAAAAAAACGCGCATGATGGATTCAAATACAGGATGTATTGATATACTTATAGGTATATATATATACATCCAGGATATACTTATCAGTAAATACAGGAACATTTTCACAACAGCGATGTTAAATTTGACAACGGCGGTGCGCTACTTTGCCTCTTATGTATAAGAAACCCTGTATATTATATGTTGTTATATATATATATGCATGATACAACTAAATGAAGTACTATTATATATAGGAACACACAAATGCTGCATATATGTCCACACATCAATTAATCCTAACAAACGAAAAGAATAATTGAATTCTGATGAGAACAGATAATATTCATGAAAGGATCTTTGATATATACAAAGAAAACGGTATTTAAAGACAGAATAACCACATCTTGCATAGAAACTGCACAATTTTGTGATACCATCAAAAAATTAAGTTTCATCATATTTTACTATGCCTTGCCAACCAGGGAAAAAATAAAAATTTATTTTTCTAGGGCTACTTTTCAAGCTCGCGTGCATGAAAATAGCACTCTAAAATTTGGTTTGCATTGAACTCTATGCAAATTTACGGGGTCTTTTTGCATTTCGGGGGCTATAAATCGCCCCGCGAGCCCCCGTGTATTTTTTTACTGTTGCCAGCGCTGTCAAAGCATGTTTATCAACACTCTACTTGTCTTCCAGCACGACAGGAATCATAGACAGTCCTGGTCAAGTGATAATAATATT